CCACGCTCAGGCAACACCCAGGGGCTTGCCCGGCACCCCCGCTGCTCCCAGAGAGACTCACTGCTCGTATTTGTGCAGCGTGGCTTGCAGCAGGAGGAGGGAGTACACCAGGCCGGCGGCAAAACTCAGCTGCTCCCCTGGCGCCCCCCGCAGGCCGGAACGCTCCGCGCAGCTCTCGTTCAGCTCAAACTTCTCCTGGGCCTGCTTGCTGATCAGCTCGGCCTGTTCCGGGGGGGGGGGGGGAGTCAGGGTTGCAGGGCCCGCTGGGCTGCTTACTGCCGGAGCTCTGCTCCTGTGTGCTCCCGCAGGAAATGACCCCTGCTTGCCAGAGTCAACCCTGCTTAGCTTCTAAGATCTGATGAGATTGGGCTGGCCTATATCCTGGTCAGGGCGAGAGGGGAATTGGTTTTAATGGTTTTTAAATTTGATTTTTATCATGATTTTATCATTTGAGGGGCTGTGGCTCAGTGGTAGAGCATCTGCTTGGCATGCAGAAGGTCCCCGGGCCAATCCCTGGCAGCATCGCCAGGTAAGAAAGGACCAGGCAGAGTCCTCAGCCAGTCTGAGTGGACGAGACTGGCCTTGAGGGTCTGACACCGGACAAGGCAGCTCTGGACGTCCAGACAGGAGACTCTCTGTCCTCCGTCCGGCTCGACCACCCCCACCCCACCCCCAGCAAAAGGGCAGGGAGAGGAGCCACCCCAAGGCTGGAGTGGAGCCAGGAGGCAGCGCCAGGGAGGGGGTGAAGAGCGGGTGTCCAGTGCCTTTTGTGTGTTTCCTCCCGGGATATTCAGAGGCCAGACCAGAACCCTGCTGGTGGCCAGACCGAGCGCCTGCACCAGGGCCCGACTTCAGCCCGGGCGCCCTCACCCACCCACCCCGCCCGGAGAGCGGCTGACCTTGCAGATGAGCCTGGGGATGAGTAGGAGCACCAGCACGCAGTCGTGGTCCCCGCCGTGCCGCAGGAAGCTGTCTGGCATAAACGAGGTCAGCAGGGAGACGTGCCGGTTGGCCTGCTGCACCTCCATCTGCCGGAGCTCCATCTCGATGGCCTGCGCAGGGGGCACGGCGACGTCAGAGGGCGCCCGGGGACACCCTGGACCCACTCTGCTTCACACAACGACCACCACCCCCGCCCCACGGACTGTGCCAAGGGATCACCACTTCCGGCAAGCTGGCAGGACCTTTATCGGAACACGGATCACACCCCGGCCATTCAGCTCTATAAAAAAAGGGGGAGGGCCACACCAGCCGAGCAAACCATCCACACAACAGCACTCCCTAAAAGCGACAAAATCCAGAACGTTTTGCACCATGCAAAGCCCACCCCTTCCTTCCCTCTGTGCAGCAGACCTGCCCCTCCCGGAAAAGAAGACGAAGAGAAGAGATTGGATTTATACGCCATGGCTCTTCACTACCCCCAAAGGTGTCTCAGAGCGGCTTACAAACCCCTTTCCCTTCCCCTCCCCACCACAGACACACTGAGAGAGCTCTGACAGAAACGGCTCTTTTTTCAAGAACAGCTCTTGTCAGAACTATGGCTTGCCCAAGGTCATCCAGCAGGTGCAAGTGGAGGAGGAGTGGGGAATCAAACCCGGTTCCCCCAGATTAGAGTCCGCGCACTTAACCACGACACACCAAACTGGGACCCAGAGAGAGGGAAAGGATGCAGGCGGCCACCCCCAGGGGCCTTCCCACTCCGTTCTCCCCTCGGCTCAGACTTCCCCTTTGTTTATTTCACTCCCGCAAGAAGAGGGGGGATCCCGAGGAGGAGGAGGAGGAGGAGGAGGAGGGGAATGCTGGGCAGGCCCCCCGGTGGCCCTTCTGGGCCAGAGAGACAGTGCAGAGTGCTCTGCAGCCCTTGGAAGCAGTGTTCCCTCTAAGCTGAGTTGGTGTGAGCTGGCTCACAGCCTTTTAGCCTCCAGCGCACACATTTTCGTTTTGGCTCAGGAAGGAGGGCTCCGGAGCAGGCTAATGTATGCAGCAGCCAAACCGCTCGCTCGCAGCTTTAAGGCCAGCAGCTCACAAAGCAGGACTTTTTCTCACAAGGCTCCACATCTTAGCGGGAGCAGTGCTTGGAAGTCCATCCTAACACCCAGAAGAAGAAGAAGGAGGAGGGCAGGTTTCTGTCTCCCGCTTTCCTCTCCCTTAAGGAGTCTCAAAGTGGCTCAGAATCTCCTTCCTCTCCCCAGAAGAGGCAGGTGGGGCTGAAAGAGGACCGGGACTGGCCCAAGAAGGCCACCCAGCAGACCTCACATGGAGGAGAAGTGGGGAATCAGGCCCGGCTCTCTAGGCGAGAGTCCGCTGCTGCTGCTGCTCTTCACCACGACACCATGCTGGCTCTCAGCCAGGCCTGCTGCAGCCACACTCCGACGACGCAGCCCAGCTACCCAGGAAACTTCAGTCTCACTGGTTTTCAGCAGTATGAACTGGCTGGAATAAGATCAGTTTAAAGCTCGGCTGCTGTGGCACATCTTTATTGCGGTAGAAGCTTCCGTGAGCCAGAGGCCAGGTGGCCACACGGCCCTGTCAGAGAAGGCTGGGGGGCCTGACTCACCACCTTTGGCCACTTGAGATGAGTGCACCTGCTGCTGCCGGGGAGATAAAGAGCCTTGAGGCTTTCCCAGACTGCCAGGCCTCCTGTTGACCTTCTTAAACAGATCACATCCCACAAGGAACTGCTGAACGAGGCTTCCCAGCTCCTGGTGTCCCCACAGGGCGCCCCGGGGGAGGAGCCGGCCCCTCCCATCTCCACGCGTGCCCAAATGCCCTCCCCTGCAACCACCTCCAGAGCTTGGCAGAGGGGGGGGGGGGGGGAGGATACGGCAGGCTCCGCCACACGGCTCTCCTGCTGAGCCCACCTTGGCATGGGCCTTCGTCTCGGCAAACTTGATCTTGAAGTCGAACATCTCCGGCGGGGGCTGCTGCTGCCTCTCCACGGAAGCCTCTTGCTGGCTCATCAGCTCTCGGTTCACCTCCTGCGGCAGGCAGAGGGCGAGCATCAGGGGCGTGGAGGGAGGGGGAGGACAGGAGGAGGACCACCCGGCTCAAGGACAAACCCAGGCGGGGGCGGGGGTGAGCCTATTTTGAGGGTACCACGAAAGTCAGGCAAAAGTGTTCCGCTAGAGGGAGGGAAGCCTACAGGGCAAGACCTCACATGCGAGAGAAGGAAGGAGACCTCCCGCTCCCTGCCTGTCTTGTCTCAGCGGTGGAGCATCATCTGGCCTGGCATGCAGAAGGCCCCGGGGCCAATTGGAATGAACTGTGTTTTATGTATTATGGGAGAATTTTTATTCTGTTCTGTAAGCTGCCCTGAGCCGGCCTAGGCCGGGAGGGCGGGATAACAAATTTAAATAAATCAAATCAAAAATCAATTCAATCCCTGGCATCACCCGCTAAAAAAGCCAGGTAGGACTCTAATGCCTGAAATCTTTGGAAGCTGCTGCCAGCCCGAGTAGACAATACTGCCTCGGAGGGACCGACGGTATGACCCAGCAGAAGGCCGCTTCCGGTGTGCTCAGGGCTGCAGAGAAGCAGGGAGAGGGCTGCCCCTGCATCACAGTCCCCTTCCCGTCAAAGCCAGCAGGAGGATCCTTCTCAGCCGGCTTCAAGGAAAGCCAGCGTCTCCCTGACCGGCTAGGGATCACGTGGGAAGAGCTGCCCTTCTTAGTGACAGGGCCCTGTTTGTCCCGGGTGACCTCCTCACACACTGCCCACAATGTGCTCCCTGAGGGGCCTCCCGGGATCACTCCGGAGGAGGGCGCAGAGACCAGAGCGGGCTGGGCAAGGCCGCAGAAGTGGCAGCAGCAGCGGCAGCAGCAGGGATGGCTGCAAAGGCCCCACAGGAATGTCAGCTCTTTGCCAGGGACTTTGGAGGGGGCTACTTTGGGGGCAAGTGCTCTAGAGCGGGAGGCAGCCCTAGAGAGGGAGGCAACTGCCTGTGTGCCAAGAGATGGGGGGGAGGTGACAGCCCCCCCCCCCCATAGCTCAGCCACAGCAGCAGGACTGGGTCTCCTCTGGGCCAAAAGGGTCGATATTTTGTCCCAAGAAAAGCCCAACCCCAGCCTCGCCCGGCAGGAGACCGGAGGGCTGGGTGGGGTGGGGGGGAGGGCCG